GAGCCCGACGAGCTGCCAGACTGCTCCATCCCGCGTCCGAATCGACTAGTAAAACTTGTGTTGCGTCGAGAGGTGAGACTATAGCAAGGAAGCTAAAGGTGTGTCAACACCAATTCGAAAATACTTCCAGGCTTAAGCTGATCAATAACAGGGATAAACTAAATGGCGCCGCTTGCCAGCGACGACTTTTAGTTATCAGAACTTTGATATTGCCTTATGTTTACTGCGCGGCACCAAATACTTTTTTCAGCAAGTTGCTGGCCTGGCCCATAGGGTCTTGTCGAATGGCCGCTTCTTCTTTTGCCACCATCAGGTAAACGCCGTCCAATGCCTTTTGCGTGACATATTGATTGATATTGGCATTTTCCTTCTTTACTACACCAAACTTGCTGCCCATTTCCGCATACTGATTATAGGTATCGGCCAGTTTGACATTGGCAGTCGCTTTTTGCACGACCGGCAGGAACTTGGCGGCCATCTCGGTTGAGGTGGTTTTCTTGAAGTATTGTGTCGCCGCATCTTGCGGGCCAGTGAGTATGCCTTTGACATCGGCCAGACTCATTTGCTTGATGGAGTTGACCAGCAGGGTTTTGGCTTCAGGCACCGCTTGTTCTGCCGCACGATTCATTTTCAGGATGAGTTCATCAGCCTGATCGCCCATGCCGACCAGTCGCATGCCTTTTTTCAACCTTCTTCAGGGAATCCGGCAAAGGGATTTTCACGTCTTTATTACCCAGAAAGCCATCCGTGGCACCCAGCACATCGACCGCTTTTGTCACCCCCTGATTGAGCGCAAGCTTCAGCCCGTCATTGGTTTCCTTGTCGGTCAGGCTGCTGACAGCGCCGCTATTATCAGCGGTAGCGTTACCGCTGACTTTATTGACGACATCCCCCAGGCTCTTTAGATCAAGTGCTTGTGCATCCGAAAACAACAAGCCTATCAGTATCACCCACGCAGTTTTTTTCATTATTTATCTCCATGCAAATCTGAGATCAGTGTACCGACAAATGACTGGCCAAGAAAGGACAAAAGCAAGCCTGGGAGGGCTTGCTTTATCATTTGTTGTATAACTGTTAAATTTTGCAATCAAACTTTAAATTGCTCCACCTTCCAAATGCGATTTGCATATTCACCTATGGTACGGTCACTGGAGAATTTCGCCATGCGCGCCACATTTAAGATAGCCACACGCGACCAGGCTTCTTCATCCTGGTACAAGGCAGCTACTTTGTCTTGCGCCTCGACATAGGCGGCATAGTCTGCGAGTAACAGGTAATGGTCGCCTTTGTGTAACAAGGTATCGACAATCGCCTGGTATCGATCAGGTTCGCCCACTGAAAAGAAACCATTGCCTATCATATCGATGACCTGCTTCAATTCAGCGTTACCGTTGTAATAATCCCAGGGGTTATACCCACTTGCCTTGATTTGCGCGACCTCGGGCGTAGTCAGGCCGAAGATAAAGATATTCTCATCACCGACTTCTTCCTTGATCTCCACATTGGCGCCATCCAGTGTGCCTATGGTCAGCGCCCCATTGAGCGCCATCTTCATATTACCCGTGCCACTGGCTTCAGTGCCAGCAGTAGAGATCTGCTCAGACAAATCAGCACCCGGGAACAGGATCTCGGCGGCGCTCACCTCATAGTTAGGATAAAACACGACTTTCAGCTGGTCACCGATAACCGGGTCATTGTTAATCAGCGTTGCGACATCATTAATCAAGCGGATGATCTGCTTGGCCAGCCAGTAACCTGGCGCGGCTTTACCAGCAAAGATCACCACGCGAGGCGTATGGTGTTTTGCCTGGCCACTACGAATGCGGTTATATAAGGTGATGACATGCAACACATTTAATAACTGACGTTTGTATTCGTGGATCCGTTTGATCTGCACATCAAATATCGCTTGCGGGTTAATGGCAACACCAGTTTTCTGCAGGATTTTATAGGCCAGGCGCTGTTTGTTGGCTGCCTTCACTTCGCGGAAAGCTTTCCTGAAAGCTGCATTCTCAGCCAACGGCTCGATATTCTTAATCAGGCCCAGGTCTTTCTGGAAACCAGTGCCTATATGTTTCGTTAATAGCTCGGTGAGCAGCGGGTTAGCCTGGTTGAGCCAGCGGCGCGGCGTAATACCATTGGTCACATTGGTAAATTTGCCGGGATAAATTTTGTTGAAGTCGGCAAACAATGTCGTCCGCAACAATTCACTGTGTAAAGCCGCCACCCCATTCACGGTATGGCTACCGACCACCGCCAGGTGAGCCATGCGCACACGGCGGCCATGCGTTTCATCAATAATGGAGACGCGACTGAGCAAGGCGCTATCGCCGGGGAAATGCTGGTTCACCATCTGCAGGAACCTGTGGTTAATTTCGAAAATGATCTCCAGATGGCGTGGCAACAGCGATGAAAACAGATCTACCGACCAGGTTTCCAGTGCTTCCGGCATCAGCGTGTGGTTGGTGTAGGCGAATATCTGCGTGACCAGTTTCCATGCCCTGTCCCAAGCCAGGTGATAGTGATCGACCAACTGGAACATCATTTCAGCCACGGCAATCGCAGGATGAGTATCGTTTAACTGGATGGCGACCTTTTGCGGCAACGTATCCCAGTCCGGATTATTTGTGATAAACCGGTGCAGGATGTCTTGCGTAGAGGCGGATACAAAAAAGTATTGCTGTTTTAAACGCAACTCTTTGCCAGATTCAGAGGTGTCGTTTGGATATAGCACCTGGGAAATGGTCTCCGCCCCATGACGGCCTTCGACAGATTTATCGTAGTTACCCTGATTAAACGATGTCAGGTCGAACTCTTTAGCGGCTTTGGCAGACCACAAGCGCAGATTATTCACTGTTTGTGTGCCATAGCCGGGCACAGGTACATCGTACGGCATGGCCACTACACTCTCGGTGTCTATCCAGTGGCGTTCTGTGCCACGCTCGGTATGCACTTGCACGACACGGCCATAAAACTTCACTTCGCAGGTATGTTCCGGGCGCTGTACTTCCCAGATATTCTGGTAGCGCAACCAGTTATCAGGATTCTCAACCTGTTGGCCACCCTCAATACTTTGCCTGAACATGCCATAGTCATAGCGAATACCGTAACCGGTCGCTGGAATATCCATGGTCGCCATAGAATCCACGAAACACGCAGCTAACCTGCCTAAACCGCCATTGCCCAGCGCAGCGTCCGGCTCCATCTCGGCCACGCTTTCCAGTTGCTGGCCGATTTCTTGCAGGCCTTCGCTTAGTTCCGGTGCAACGCCCAAATTCAGTGCTGCATTTGACAGCATGCGGCCGATCAAGAATTCGAGTGATAAATAATAGACGCGCTTGGTATTTGCATCGCGATAAGCATCCCGGGTAATCACCCAACGACTCATTAAGTGGTCACGCACAGTAAAGGCAGCGGTTTGGTACCAGTCCCTGGTAGTGGCCCAGGAGTTGGATTTACCCAGAGAAAATGTCAGATGGTTGCGTAAAGCTTGCGGAATCGGCAACTGCGTCAGCAAAAAGTCTTCAGCGTTATGGATGGTTTCTATTTTGTTAGTCTTGGAACGTGTGGATTTGGCATTAGTGGCCATGCATCTTCCCCTGAAATAATCAATAACGGATGTGATCGTCTAACTTAAAAGCAAAAAACAAGCCCGTCGCGGCAATGAGCCTGTATGACAAAAAGCCACGGCGAAGGTGCCATGGCTTTTATTATAAACAGGATAAATGTAATGATGATGACTAAAATAGTGGCAGTGCATGCCAGCCGTGGGGCCATCAGTTGAATGCCAATAGTCTATATCGCCCAGCCGTAAGCAATGCCAAGGGAGTTCTGGTTCATGCGTACATCCGCCTCGCCGCCGCCAAAAGGCGCAGCTGGAATCGAGTTATTACCACGCACTTTGTTTTCAAAGGCATGTGCAAAAAAGAACGAAAGCTCAGACTTGTTCGGCAAAGTATAGGTTGCCCCTAAGGTAAGGTGATCCTGCACCACAGCAGGCGCCAGGATATTGAACAGGGTTTCGCTGCTGCGCACCGGTTGCGAACTATGATTGTAACCAGCACGCAAGGTCAGGCTATCGCTGTAGGCATACTGTGCACCGACCTTGAGCACTGTGACATCACGCCAGCCAAATCCCGGGCCGCTGGATGCGCCCAGCCTGGCAGGCAGGTTACTCAACGATAAATTGCCGATCGCATTCACATCAGAATACAAGATGCGTTGCGCATCGGCAGCCAGCGTCAATGCGGGCGTCGTTTTAATGGCGATACCAATACCGTAATTGGCAGGGATATCAATATCGCCATCCTCTGCAAACAAGCCTTTATATTTATCAAACTTGCTGGCGTAGGTTTTGGTCTGGTAAGTCGCGCCCAAGGTCACCGCATCACTCACCTGGCCGATCCAGCCGAAACGCAAGCCGGCGCCATACGAGTGGTCGTGCCCATTATTGGTCACATTTCCCGGCGAGGTTGTGAAGCCTGCGTTATCAAAGTTCTGCAAGCCTTTCGCCTCGAAACGTTGATATGCCAGATTGAGTGAGACACCTAATACATGCTGCTCAGTCACGCGCCAGGTCGCAGTTGGCGCTACCACCACTTGCAGATAATCAATCCCGACCCGGCTGCCGGTATTATTGAAATAAGGGATACCATCTTTATAATCTGTGTTCATGCCACCATTGCCGTAAACGCTGACACCCAGGGTGGTGCGGTCATTGATCACGCGGTTATAGCCAAACTCGGGGATAAAAA